CGTCACAATGTATTGGTGTCACTGCACCGTTCTAGTCTGCCCCCTCGTAATCGAACACTTTTGCATTATGTAACAATGTAACCAACGTCACTATGCATGTCAGTTGTCATCGCCTCGTACAGCCTCCTACAGTAAACTACTTCGTAGCTCCCCATTTCTTGGTTTGCAGTTGCTTCACTCGGCTAACATTACTATATATGGGAAACATTACTATATATATTTCGACAGATATTAGGTGTCAGTTCGACTCACTATTAAACAGTGACACGGCAACGCTCGCTATGTTGACGTTCCCAAAATGCATCCTTGGAATGTCGCGTAACTAATCAGCTTCATCTGGATGTACTGATCTAAACTTACGTTGGTAGTAGAAATGCGACATTCATATTTCCCCATATGGTTTACGTTAATAACAGATGTAATCACAATACTTTTGAGAAGATATTTAACCCGAACATAAACCGTCATCAAACTGTTTATCATTTCTTTTTGTGTTAATGTGCGCCTTAACGTAGCGGGGCAGACGCGTCAATAGAACAGCGCGTCAGTTAGCCCTGAACGAGGATTGTTAAGTTAGGTCACCGACACCATCGTTTTTCTGTTTGTTTTCTGCCTTACATTTATCATCAGTAAGTATTAAATTTGGCATCTTAGAAAAGAAATATAGTTTGCTCTACCACCATCTATGGTGTAATAAAGCACACTTTTGCTCTGAACTATTATAACAGAAAAGCACTCGGATGCAAGCGTCCTCGTACTTTAACTATAATAGTTCAGGGTGAAAGTGTGCTTTATCACACTATACATGGTGGTAGAGTGAACTATGTTTCGTAATTAACATGCAATATTGATTAAATTGTTTGTTGAATAACTGTCTCTGATTGAGTGAACTTGTACATCATATAGTTCACAAGTCCACATGCTTGAACATTTATTATTAGATTGTCCCCAGACATTTACATCATCATCATGTTTCCATGACAACATCAACACATTGTCTAACAGTGCTAGGATAGTTGCATGTCATGACAATGGCATACAATATGCTATGTAGATGCCGGCATAACTTTTATAATGGACATTGATTTGGAATCACCAGTGTATAAGCTGTGGAATACTGTCTTGCTGCTGACTCTTGTTATATGAAGAATACTGTTTGGTGTTGAATCTAGTCTAATCTAGGTAAACACATGGACACCTACATACTGTGAATATCAAAGCAGCTTGTCAGGAAACGTGAGCCATTATTACACTATGATCAATCAATTCCATAACACCATTTTGTCCCTTTTGAATGATAAATGAAATTTACATTGAACTGATGTTGGTTAATTAACATGGCTGAAAACATCAATACTGTTCAAACCCTTATCAACAGATAAACTTTATTTCAGAATAGTGACAGTAAAATCTCTCCTCTTTACTCTGTAATAGTTGATGTTTAAGTGTCTCTAAGGGGTAATGTATATAGTGTTGTCAAGGTGTATCCAGTTAAAAGTGTACAGTGGTATCCAGTAGATCTTGTACAGATGTGTATGCAGTAGATCATGTACAGATGTATACAGTAGGTCATGTACAGATGTATACAGTAGATCATGTACAGATGTATACAGTAGATCATGTACAGATGTATACAGTAGGTCATGTACAGATGTATACAGTAGATCATGTACAGATGTATACAGTAGATCATGTACAGATGTATATAGTAGGTCATGTACAGATGTATACAGTAGACCATGTACAGATGTATACAGTAGATCATGTACAGATGTATACAGTAGATCATGTACAGATGTATACAGTAGGTCATGTACAGATGTATACAGTAGATCATGTACAGATGTATACAGTAGATCATGTACAGATGTATACAGTAGATCATGTACAGATGTATACAGTAGATCATGTACAGATGTATACAGTAGGTCATGTACAGATGTATACAGTAGGTCATGTACAGATGTATACAGTAGATCATGTACAGATGTATACAGTAGATCATGTACAGATGTATACAGTAGATCATGTACAGATGTATACAGTAGATCATGTACAGATGTATACAGTAGATCATGTACAGATGTATACAGTAGATCATGTACAGATGTATACAGTAGATCATGTACAGATGTATACAGTAGATCATGTACAGATGTATACAGTAGATCATGTACAGATGTATACAGTAGATCATGTACAGATGTATACAGTAGATCATGTACAGATGTATACAGTAGATCATGTTCAGATGTATACAGTAGATCATGTACAGATGTATACAGTAGGTCATGTACAGATGTATACAGTAGGTCATGTACAGATGTATACAGTAGATCATGTACAGATGTATACAGTAGGTCATGTACAGATGTATACAGTAGATCATGTACAGATGTATACAGTAGGTCATGTACAGATGTATACAGTAGATCATGTACAGATGTATACAGTAGATCATGTTCAGATGTATACAGTAGATCATGTACAGATGTATACAGTAGGTCATGTACAGATGTGTATGCAGTAGATCATGTTCAGATGTATACAGTAGATCATGTACAGATGTATACAGTAGATCATGTTCAGATGTATACAGTAGATCATGTACAGATGTATACAGTAGGTCATGTGCAGATGTATACAGTAGGTAATGTACAGATGTATACAGTAGATTTTGTACAGATGTATACAGATGTATATAGTTTGTCATGTGCAGATGTATACAGTAGATCATGTACAGATGTGTATACAGTAGGTCATGTACAGATGTATACAGTAGGTCATGTACAGATGTGTACAGTAGCTCATGTACAGATGTATACAGTAGGTAATGTACAGATGTATACAGTAGATTTTGTACAGATGTATACAGATGTATATAGTTTGTCATGTACAGATGTATACAGTAGATCATGAACAGATGTATACAGTAGATCATGTACAGATGTATACAGTAGATTTTGTACAGATGTATACAGGTCATGTACAGATGTATACAGTAGATCATGTACAGATGTATACAGGTCATGTACAGATGTATACAGTAGATCATGTACAGATGTGTATACAGTAGGTCATGTACAGATGTATACAGTAGATCATGTACAGATGTATACAGTAGATCATGTACAGATGTATACAGTAGGTCATGTACAGATGTATACAGTAGATCATGTACAGATGTATACAGTAGGTCATGTACAGATGTATACAGTAGGTATACATAATGTACAGATGTGTGTATACAGTAGGTCATGTACAGATGTATACAGTAGATCATGTACAGATGTGTATACAGTAGGTCATGTACAGATGTATACAGTAGGTCATGTACAGATGTGTATACAGTAGGTCATGTACAGATGTATACAGTAGATCATGTACAGATGTGTATACAGTAGGTCATGTACAGATGTATACAGTAGATAATGTACAGATGTGTATACAGTAGGTCATGTACAGATGTATACAGTAGATCATGTACAGATGTGTATACAGTAGGTCATGTACAGATGTATACAGTAGATCATGTACAGATGTTCAGATGTATACAGTAGATCATGTACAGATGTATACAGTAGATCATGTACAGATGTATACAGTAGATCATGTACAGATGTGTATACAGTAGGTCATGTACAGATGTATACAGTAGGTCATGTACAGATGTATATCATGTATACAGTAGGTCATGTACAGATGTATACAGTAGATAATGTACAGATGTGTATACAGTAGGTCATGTACAGATGTATACAGTAGATCATGTACAGATGTATACAGTAGATCATGTACAGATGTATACAGTAGATCATGTACAGATGTATACAGTAGATCATGTACAGATGTATACAGTAGATCATGTTCAGATGTATACAGTAGATCATGTACAGATGTATACAGTAGATCATGTACAGATGTATACAGTAGATCATGTACAGATGTATACAGTAGGTCATGTGCAGATGTATACAGTAGGTAATGTACAGATGTATACAGTAGATTTTGTACAGATGTATATAGTTTGTCATGTGCAGATGTATACAGTAGATCATGTACAGATGTGTATACAGTGGGTCATGTACAGATGTATACAGTAGATTTTGTACAGATGTATACAGATGTATATAGTTTGTCATGTGCAGATGTATACAGTAGATCATGAACAGATGTATACAGTAGATCATGTACAGATGTATACAGTAGGTAATGTACAGATGTATACAGGTCATGTACAGATGTATACAGTAGATCATGTACAGATGTATACAGGTCATGTACAGATGTATACAGTAGATAATGTACAGATGTATACAGGTCATGTACAGATGTATACAGTAGGTCATGTACAGATGTATACAGTAGACCATGTACAGATGTATACAGTAGATCATGTACAGATGTATACAGTAGGTCATGTACAGATGTATACAGTAGATCATGTACAGATGTATACAATAGATCATGTACATATATATACAGTAGATCATGTTCAGATGTATACAGTAGATCATGTACAGATGTATACAGGAGATCATGTACAGATGTATACAGCAGGTCATGTACAGATGTATACAGTAGGTCATGTACAGATGTATACAGTAGATCATGTACAGATGTATACAGTAGATCATGTACAGATGTATACAGTAGGTCATGTACAGATGTATACAGTAGATCATGTACAGATGTATACAGTAGGTCATGTACAGTGGTATCCAGTAGATCATATACAGATGTATACAGTAGATCATGTACAGATGTATACAGTAGATCATGTACAGATGTATATAGTTTGTCATGTGCAGATGTTTACAGTAGGTAATGTACAGATGTATACAGTAGGTCATGTTCAGATGTATACAGTTGGTCATGTACAGATGTATACAGTAGATCATGTACAGATGTAAACAGTAGGTCATGTACAGATGTATATAGTAGGTCGTGTACAGATGTATACAGTAGGTCATGTACAAGATAATTTCTTTGTGTTGTAGATGGAGCAGTCTATAGGGGTGTGGCTGTGACCCACAATGGCAAGCAACCATGGCAGCTCAGAGCCATTTGAAGACTACTGGAAGGAGTTCGATGACATTGAAAGCAGTAAAGGATCAGATGATGAGGAGGAGCTGTCCAAAACCCCAGATGGTAAATATTCAAACTGTTCCTTCGGTCAAGGTGTTTCATTTCTGAATACCTGGTTGAATGTTAGTTTGATGCTGCTTAACAATTTTATCATGTTGTCTTGTATTCAAGATCAGAGTGTGACTTTATATATCCTGGCAGTGAGTGAGTATGGTTTTACGCCGCTTTTAGCAGTATTGTAGCAATATCACAGCGGGGGGACACCAGAAATGGGTTTCACACATTGTACCCATGTGGGGAATCGAACCCGGGTCTTCGCATGATGAGCAGACGGTTTAACCACTAGGCTACCGCACAACATCATATCCTAGCACATGCAACAACAACATTGCAATGCATGATCTCTCAAACCATGTGCTCAGTGAACCTTCATCACCTGACCTGTTGTTTTAGTGGGAAAACACTGAGTAACAATACCAAACGTGATGCTTGTGGTTAAAGGTTTGATTCATTTTGTGGAGTTTTCATGTAACAAATCTTGATCTTTTAACAATTAAAAAATCAGCACCAGATGTTAATTGATACCACTGAAAAGTATAACCTCAAAGCAGGTACTTTAATGATTAAACAAAACATGAAGGTCGTACATGAGGGAAGTAAAACATAATGGCAGACCTTGTGAAAGTAAAACCTCCCTGAGTATATTCAGCTACCTTCTCACAGCTTGATTAGAGTCCATGTACTTGATGAAATGAAGAACCCTGTACCAAACAATGGAATGACATCACTAAATGTCACTCATTCAAATCTTTTCAATCGCTGGGTTCCAAAACTTTGGAGAGTGGAAGGTCGCGGGTTCAATCCCCGACCGCGTCATACCAAAAGACGTTAAAATATGGTACTTGTTGGTCCCTGCCTGGCGCTTGGCATTAATGGGTACAACAAGGACTGGTCGGCTCAGAGTCAGTATAATGTGTCTGAGTGGGGTATTCATGCTTCACTGCGGCATGGTATCTCAGTGGGCTAGCACTATAAAACCAGCTTCAGTCTGGGCTAGTACAAGCAGCCGCACATATACATACACACGCATGCACGTCGTCATATGAGCGAAATATTCTCAAGCACGACGTTAAACCCAATTTCACCTCACCATTATTATGAGAAAGTTCTAAACATGCTAAACGCATTGAATTCAGGTTTTACAATAGTATGTTAGGTAATGCCTCAAGCATGTTAGTATTTTTTGTCACTGGTAATAATGAAAAAACATAGTTTAAAACATTTTTCATGTTAATGTACCAAAAAGAGAGAGTTAAATTACTTCCTTCTATTTTGGACATTCTTTCACCCTTGTCTAAAATTAGTTTCTTTACTAAAAAGATTTACTCGAAATTTTGTTATACATACCTGTGTCTGTGAATGCAGTAGGTGTTACTGTGTTACTGTGTATGCTAATTTTGTTTGTTTCAGAGGGGGAACAAGAAGCGGAGTGGCTCCAACGGGCAGGATATGGATTTGTTGCAAGCAAACTACATGGTAAGTAACTAGCTTACCCATGGCTAGCCATGACATCTAGTCTGTTAGTAACTGGTCCTTACCCAGGGGTAGCCATGGCATCTAGTCTGTTAGTAACTGGTCTTTACCCAGGGCTAGCCATGGCATCTAGTCTGTTAGTAACTAGTCCTTACCCATGGCTAGCCATGAACACTAGCCTGCTAGTAACAAGTCTTTACCCATGGCTAGCCATGACATCTAGTCTGTTAGTAACTGGTCCTTACCCAGGGGTAGCCATGACATCTAGTCTGTTAGTAACTGGTCCTTACCCAGGGGTAGCCATGACCACTAGTCTGTTAGTAACTAGTCCTTACCCATGGCTAGCCATGAACACTAGCCTGCTAGTAACAAGTCTTTACCCATGGCTAGCCATGACATCTAGTCTGTTAGTAACTGGTCCTTACCCAGGGGTAGCCATGACATCTAGTCTGTTAGTAACTGGTCCTTACCCAGGGGTAGCCATGACATCTAGTCTGTTAGTAACTAGTCCTTACCCATGGCTAGCCATGAACACTAGCCTGCTAGTAACAAGTCTTTACCCATGGGTAGCCATGACATCTAGTCTGTTAGTAACTGGTCCTTACCAAGGGGTAGCCATGACATCTAGTCTGTTAGTAACTGGTCCTTACCCAGGGCTAGCCATGACATCTAGTCTGTTAGTAACTGGTCCTTACCCAGGGGTAGCCATGGCATCTAGTCTGGTAGTAACTGGTCCTTACCCAGGGGTAGCCATGACATCTAGTCTGTTAGTAACTGGTCCTTACCCAGGGCTAGCCATGACATCTAGTCTGTTAGTAACTGGTCCTTACCCAGGGGTAGCCATGGCATCTAGTCTGGTAGTAACTGGTCCTTACCCAGGGCTAGCCATGACATCTAGTCTGGTAGTAACTGGTCCTTACCCAGGGGTAGCCATGACATCTAGTCTGGTAGTAACTGGTCCTTACCCAGGTGTAGCCATGGCATCTAGTCTGTTAGTAACATCTAGTCTGGTAGTAACTGGTCCTTACCCATGGCTAGCCATGACATCTAACTGGTCTGGGGTAGCCATATCTAGTCTGTTAGTAACTAGTCCTTACCCAGGGGTAGCCATGACATCTAGTCTGTTAGTAACAAGTCTTTACCCAGGAGTAGCCATGACATCTAGTCTGTTAGTAACTAGTCCTTACCCATGGCTAGCCATGAACACTAGCCTGCTTGTAACAAGTCCTTACCCAGGAGTAGCCATGACATCTAGTCTGTTAGTAACTGGTCCTTACCCAGGGCTAGCCATGACATCTAGTCTGTTAGTAACTGGTCCTTACCCAGGGGTAGCCATGACATCTAGTCTGTTAGTAACTGGTCCTTACCCAGGTGTAGCCATGGCATCTAGTCTGGTAGTAACTGGTCCTTACCCATGGCTATCCATGAACACTAGCCTGCTAGTAACAAGTCTTTACCCATGAGTAGCCATGACATCTAGTCTGTTAGTAACTGGTCCTTACCCAGGGGTAGCCATGACATCTAGTCTGTTAGTAACTGGTCCTTACCCAGGGGTAGCCATGACATCTAGTCTGTTAGTAACAAGTCTTTACCCAGGAGTAGCCATGACATCTAGTCTGGTAGTAACTAGTCCTTACCCATGGCTAGCCATGAACACTAGCCTGCTAGTAACAAGTCCTTACCCAGGAGTAGCCATGACATCTAGCCTGGTAGTAACCAGTCCTTACCCATGGCTAGCCATGAACACTAGCCTGCTAGTAACTAGTCCTTACCCAGGAGTAGCCATGACATCTAGCCTGCTAGTAACAAGTCCTTACCCATGGCTAATGATGATTATTGGTTGGGATGGTCAGGCTCAGTGATTTGTTGGATAGCATGTCTTTGTACCTGATCCTGTGAGACTTTGCCCGTGTCAATCATGGGTTGTTGTCATCTACCTGGAATATTGCTGAGAGTGGCATTAAACAACAGACCAGCAAACTATCTAACATATGTTATATTTGGGATTACACTTTCTTAGTAAAGTACAGATTCTAGTACTTTTTGGGGGTTGAGTCCCATCCAGGATTCGAACCCACACCCTCAGAGTCAGGCACCAAATCAGCCAGCACACAAAGTCAGACCCTAGACCACACATCCACCGTGGCTGTCACAAAAATGGAAGTCGGACAACTGGTAGTCTAGACTGCGGACTTTGTGTACCCCTCTGATAAGTGTTAATTGGCACAGCTCCCACGGCCGAAAGCTATGAAATACACAATGCCATTTTAGAAAGTGGTCAAATGTAACATATCTTATATTTGGGATTACACTTTCTTAGTAAAGTGTAATCTTTACTAAGAAAGTGTAATCCCAAATATTTGTCCACTTTCTAAAATGGCATTGTGTATTTTCATAGCAAACTATCGTATTACAGATGGTGAGGAGAACTTTCTGGAGGAGGTGAAAATCAAAACTTCATATGTATATGAACTCCAGAAAGTGTAATCCCAAATATTCCAAGAGCTGCCTCCAGCATATGTATATGATCTCCAAAGAGCTCTGGCATTATATGTATTTTATATATGATCTCCAACTCTCGTGAGAATATGCAGATGGTGAGCAGTAACTTCTGCTGCATATGTAGATCTCCAGAGGCTCTGCGCTCCTCCAGCATATGTATATGATCTCCAAAGAGCTTCATATGTGTATATGAACTCCAGAGAGCTCTGGCATATGTATATGATCTCTCCAGCATATGTATATGATCTCCAGAGAGCTCTGTATATGATCTCCTCTATGCGCTCCTCCAGCATATGGTGATGGTTGTTTTGTTACAATGTTGCAGATGGAAAGGAGCTGAGTGATGATGACCTGGAGGGTTTGACAGATGAGTTGTCTGTCCCCCAGGCGGAGGCGGTGCGGAAACGTATCGACACACTGACCACCACAATGAGGAAGAAACAGAAACAGAACAAGATCCATGTGAAGGACATCTTTACTAACATGGATGCTGGGGTAAGACATTCTGAATACAGTCACTTCAGATCGATACCATCAGGGTGGTCTCTACTCTTAGACCAACTCTGTTACCATGGTTACACCACTTTTTGAAAGTAGTCGGATGGCATGATCTCTGGCTCCTCAACTCGGATTTGAAGGCAGAGGTCACAGGCTCAGTTGACTTCCATTCACTCTACACGAACCACTGAGTTATATCCCTTAGGTGTCGCAAGGATCTACCAATCACACTTTCAGACCCTAGATAACTGTTTATTTTCCTGTATTTATTAATGCCATACCCTTTGTAATGGGTTACACTCAAGTGATAAATGTCCACATGAATCTCACACTATATGATATAACAGCAATAATGTTCAAAGTGGCTTTAAACCCAACCGTTATCATGGAATATGCTAGGCACCTGCCTAGTCATAGAGAAACATATAAAATACAGTACTTGTTATCCGGCCTGGTGGTATAAGTGCAATAATCTTGTTATATTCTGTTTCATGTCATCCAATGATTCTAGCTTGTTTTGTAATTCCTTGTATTTCTGTGCTCTGTGGAATGAACATCCTCCACATGCAGATAATGTGTTTGGATCATGTATGATTTATGTGTCATACTACTTGCATTTAAAGCAACCAAGAAGTCCAACACTGGATTATCTGGTCCAGACTGCCGACATCAGGAGAGAAAGTACCAAAACCGAGAGCACCTGCCTGGTCATAGCATCCTTTCTGAGGGGCTGTGGGTTAAATTCATTACTCCATGTCTGGCTGCCCCCACAGCATGATTTAGTCCAGACTTCAACCAAGAAGTCCAACACTGCCAACCTTGAGACAACCTTGAGACAATTCGTGGTGAGCCAGGAAATCATGGCATTGGAGTAGTTGGAATCAGATGTAACACTTGTGGGATGTAGACAATCTGTTGAGTTGAATTCTCTTGTACATCACATGATCTAAACAGTTTAGGGTGTACAAGAATGCTCAACTCATAAAATCCAAGTGACACATTTTAATAATTCGAGTAATATTGAGTTTTATGGGTATTACAAATAGATCAATTGTGTCACCTGTATCTGCCTTTCATTATGGTCATTTGAAGTGTTGCCATTGTCAGTTGTGATGTGACAGGGTAGTGAAGAGATTCTCTGTGCACAGTTGTATTAAATATTAAAAGTCAATTTAAAGAATAAAAACTTTAACTATTTTCAGATTTAATGTTAGTGTAATGTCCCACAACAATATTCCTCGCTTTATATGTTGCTAGCTGACAGCAGAACAATTTAATGAAACCCTGTTGAGTTGACTTGTATTGGATCATTAAACATGTAGTTATACTTTAAAACAGATTTGCTTGCTTTATTTTGAAATGTTGACCTTGAAGCTTGAGATATTAGTCTGGGTTGTGATGTTGCCAGGTGTCCAGGTGCTGAGCATCAACCCCATGACGACACAGAACAGGTTGTCACGGACTCAGCTGCAGCCAATCACAGACACTGATTTCTCCATGGACTTCCATCTTGAGGAGAGAGACAACAAGGTGAGCTACATGCTGGGGTAGTCTGGGGCGGTGGGGTAGCCTAATGGTTAAAGCGTTGGCTTGTCACGCCGAAGACCCGGGTTCGAATCCCCACATGGGCACAATGTGTGAAGCCCATTTCTGGTGTCTCCCGCAGTGATGTTGCTGGAATATTGCTAAAAGCGGCGTAAAACCAAACTCAGTCAGTCAGTCAGTCAGGGTAGTCTGGTGGTTGAAGTGTTCCCTCGTCTTGCTCAAGACATGAGTTCAATTCTCCTTAAGATACAGAGCCCATTCTTAATGTCCCTGAACATTTCTGAAAATTGACAAATATTCTGCCATTTTTGTGCCAAATAAAACCCTCCTGCATGGATTTTTCTAAACGTTTTTGGTGGTCGTGACTGCCTTTTTAAGTACTGTTGTTACAGTGCTGAGGGTCTCATTTTAATCATGGATATCCCACTCAGACACAATGAACTGATTCTATGCCAACCTGATTCCTGTTTTATCCCCTTAACGTAGAGTGCCAGGAAACAGCAAGGGCCATTGTTCCACATGTTTCAATGGACACCATATAACAAACTATAACCATCTATTTGGATGTGTCATATAGTTGACAGCCACCCTTGAACCCTACTTCTGTACACTCAAACTTCATTATTGGTAACACACAAATGGAACTTTCAGTTCTCATGTCCGTGGAGAGAATGTGATGCAGAAGAACTTATTTCGATAATTACAAGAAAACTTGCTGTAAATACTTGCAATAATGGTATACTGGATATAATGTTGACTGAAATATACCCAGTGCCAGAGGGGAGTCAGCCATGTGTCCCATAGTTGGGCAACAATTAATCATCCATGTATTGTTTTTTCTATAATCTTATGTACTTCTAATATCATAATATTAGTTACAATTCTGGCAATACTGATGTTTTCCACGCAGTGAGTGAATATGTGGAGTGGAGTTTCCCCAGAATAGTGTGTTTAAATAGTTCTTGATACACTGAAAACAGTAGTTTATTTTCCTTCAATCTCTCACATTTTCTAACTTGTCATATGGTGTTTGGATCAATTTAAAATAGGTAATTACATAGTATAGAAAATACAAGAATATAAATAAGAAAGTTGGCCAGGAAAATATCAATCCCTGTGATAAAGTGTGACAGGTTTACAGTTTGCATCCTGGCGGATTGAATGACTGATTATGTAGTATCACTTCAGGTGTTTTGATTGGTCAGTGATGTTTGATTACAGGTGGCAACAGGTACAATCCAGCCAGAACCATCAGTTCTAATTATCTGTCTTTGTCTGTAGCTGAAGAGAAGCAAATGTTATAAATGTTAAATGGCTAATAATAATACAGGAAAAACATAACAGTTACTGGCTTAGCAAAGAAATGTTAAAATCTTCACTTAAAAATTGATGTACCAGCATCCAGGAACACTGTTTGTGGACTCAAACATATTTTGTTTTTAAAAATATGAAAAACCGGAGAATGGAAAAATCTGATAATTGAATGTTTGGAGGTTGCTGTATATTTTTGTCACACTGTTGCAAGCCTTATATGTGTGGTCTTATGTAATGTGGGGAGAATTAATATTGTGCTATTCACATCTAGATTTCATTAGTGAGTGGTCAGTGTGAAATAATCTCTAACCATACGGTATGTGGATGTTTGTTTACATTTCTAGTCATAATGGGGATAGGAATGGTTTATTAATACAGAGATAGACTATTTATAACTGGTGTTTACATGATACATGTACATCATTATCTGTTTGTTTCCAGGCAGTGATAGTTTCTAATCACAATCAGTCCATGTGCTTCTTTTTGTCTAATCATGTTGCATGGGTGTGTTTGTTTCAGAGCAATTCGCAAAGGAATCCACTTGATTTACCTGTGAGTCTCACTGGAGTAGCCCCCCCTGGTTTAACTCTTTAGTTCTAGGGCTAATAAAGTTTTGTCATCCAATATATCAAAGACATAAATTGAGTCAATGAAATACATGCAATCAGATCACAAAAAATGTTTAGGTGGAAATAAGCATTTTGATACATTGTGATTTGGAGCATATATTCTGTTCTTTGATAATTATAGAAGTATATAAGCAATTATTACAAATGTGTCTTTATAATATATTTCATTGACAAAACTTTACTACAGTGCCAAGGCTAAGCATATTAGATATAACACTTTTGTCAGGATCTGGAGACTATCATGTTGAGCACTGCCGGTGTGATGTCTCTCAATATTTGCTTCGAAAAGCTTGCTGCTTCACCTGTGTGGGTCTTCTGTTACCTGTGCCGTCCTAGCACACTTCACTCACCTTGCTACACAAGGTCACCGTCTGCTCACCTGGTCAACTCTGGATGTTTCTAGATGTTTGTGTATTTGTGTGACCTTTCACTTTCTATCAGACTAAGCAAGTGAACAAGGATTATGCAGCTTGCCACTTGAAGACCATTTCTGCTGTATTGTATAAAATGCTGTTTAACATAACGTAACTAATATTTTATTATTTTATGGAATCAAAATGAACTATTTAAACATTAGTGCCTATGCTTCTCTTTCACTTGGATGTCATTTGTTACACATAATACACCATGTTGGATGTTGAATGTTGGATTTCTTATAAAAGTGGGGTACCCGTGAAATCCAGGGTTAGAATATCTTCAGTAACCGATGCTTGTCGTAAGAGGCGACTAACGGGATAAGTGGTCAGGCTCGCTGACTTAGTTGACACATGTCATCGGTTCCCAATTTCTTAGATCGATGCTCGTGCTGTTGATCACTGGTTTGTCTGGTCCAGACTCGATTATGTACAGACTGCCACCATATTGCTGGAATATTGCTGAGTGCGGCGCTAAAGAAGAAACCAACCAATATAATAAATCTAGGGTACATGTTTCTGAGGCAGTGTTTTACTATTATTCTCTTTCACAATGATATCAATATTTTATTCAATGAATCATTGATGAATTTTGATAGAAGCAGAATGTCATGTACCTTATTAAATGGAAAACTGTTCTGAAATCCATGTACAACATACAAGCACAAAGAAATATAACAATAGAGTGTAATGCATGATAGATTTGACAATATAATTGAATAGTCGTTTTTTTCACTGTGAATCATTGATATTACAAATTGTCTCTAAATACATTTCATGTCCAAGAATTGATTTTTTTATGTCAATAATATGTTTTTGATAATCCATATTTCTGTTTCATCATTTAATAAATTATTGATGTCATAAAATAGGGAATTAAAATAGTAAAACTGTGCCACATACATTTTGATTTGTGAAATTTCATAGATCTTCACATACCAGATTGCAAACAGACATTGTACTGTCATTGGAGTAAGTCCATCGTCAAGCACCTGTTTTTGATGGTTGGGTATCTTGGCTGTGTCATGGTTTAAGGCTGTTTGTGAAAACATGGTTTGATCAGTGAATCCCTCTCTGATAAGTTTGACAGAAACAGGACCCTCAGTTCCTTGATCAGTGAATCCCATTTGATCAGTGACAACAGAGTGAGGACCCTCTGGACCCTCAGTTCCTTGATCCTGAATCCCATGTGGCTCTGCCTGTGACACTACAGTATTGACAACAGAGAGAGGACCCCTCCCTTAGTCTGGACCCCATGTACCTCAGTTCCTTGATCAGTGAATCCCATGTCAGTGAATCCTCTGCCTGTGACACTACAGTATTGACAACAGAGTGAGGACCCCTCTGGACCCTCAGTTCCTTGATAGTGAATCCCATGTACCTCTGCCTGTGACACTACAGTATTGTCAACAGAGTGAGGACCCCTCTGGACCCCCAGTTCCTTGATAGTGAATCCCATGTACCTCTGCCTGTGACACTACAGTATTGACAACAGAGTGAGGACCCCTCTGGACCCTCAGTTCCTTGATAGTGAATCCCATGTACCTCTGCCTGTGACACTACAGTATTGACAACAGAGTGAGGACCCCTCTGGACCCTCAGTTCCTTGATAGTGAATCCCATGTACCTCTGCCTGTGACACTACAATATTGTCAACAGACAGTGGGGTCTCCTCTAGTAAACCGGTGCATGTCTCAGCACTAGATGTTCACATAGGCTTCTACCTGTACCTCATGCTTGTGATACAGAGTGCGCAACCCCCAAGAGTGTTCCAAATGTACTACATGTTTTATGCCCAGGGTTCTGAGGACTGGGGTGCCCCCAAAAAACTAACAAAACAAAAAAAACACATGAAAATCCTGTATCCGCCCCTGTACCTGGAGTACATGTCAATATGACCACTGAAATGATGGGTATATTCTGCTTGTAATTACATCATGAGCTTCAACTGAAAACTTGTTCCATTTACTTTGGAGTGACAATGCCACTAGTTAGGCTTGTTATATTGTCTGTATCTTGTGTTTGGCCAAAAATCATGCTACTTTAGGTGCAATCATAACTTTTTTAATTTTACAAAATTTTCTTCAAGAATCTTAAGATCAGTGAACGAAAGGGTCATCATTTGCTAATGGTGTTGGATATTCATGAAAGAATAAAGCTCAAAAGGGTTGTGAATATATGGAGAAAACAGGAGTTCTAATTCCATATTCCATATATTTTATATTCAATTCTATATTCTGTAACTGCCAGGTCAACCCAGTCTTGTGGATACAGCTCTTGTGGAGATGCCCTCTCTCTCTCTGGCCATACAGTCTCACACTTCTTGCTATTCTCTATTGACTAATGTATTAAGTAATAACTAACTAGCAGCTCACGTATTGACTTATATAAGTGGCTAAGTATACCGTATTCCCTGTATCAAGAGCCCAGATCCAATACTTCTACAAATAATCCTTATAAGCACTATTATTACATTTAGCCAGAAAAGTTTCATGACAGTCTTTCATTTCTTGTGTATAATACACATTGTTTTACTGTAAAACAAATGTATTCTTTAGTTTCATCATAACTGTTTATGTTTGAGAAGTAATATGTTGAGTACGAACTTGGTTATTTTTCAACTATCACGTGTTATGGTTCATGAACATTTCGAATAAGTTTTTAATGTAGAATTTATTTCATATTGATTTCATACATATTCCCTGCTCGGGCTCTGTGTAACACTTTGTTGTTAAAATGTTCAATTTTTTTCCTCAAGTATATTTTCAGTGACAAATAACTTGCAGTGGAATATGGCTTGTTATTAATATTGTACTGATATAGTTAATTTAACCTGGCAGGTGCCTGATACTGTCATTCATATGAGAATAATGCATTACCAGAAGCTTCACTAGCTCAAACTATTATGCATTCAGGTTATATTTTTCTGTATTTGAACACAAATGTGTTTGTAACCTGCACATAGTATAGCTGTCTGTGTATTGCTGCACTGTCCAGATCCAGTTGTCACACTTTGTAATTCATGCACGGAAACAGCTGTTCTAAAAAGTTACATTTTAGAGTTTGCTGTCCCAAATGTTGCACTGTTTTAGCACATCTCAGATCTGATTGGCTGTGAGAGGACAGTCAATACATGTATGAGCCAGTATCTTCATGAGCTCTCAGCTCTCAAGTACAGGAACTATAACGCTTTCCTTTGGCACAGGTATTCCTGTTATTTCATAATAAACCCAACTGATAACTAAATATGTCAATGGCATATATCTCATATCCCTTTGGAAGGGTGAGTAGTATTCTTCAGAGTCCACATTAAAATCAAGTTTTTTCTGTGGTATGATACATCCCTGTGTGAGGATCTAACAACTTCTCCATTGGGGCCACCTTAGCCCTACGTTCTCACCAACCAATCAGCATTGGAGATTCTTAATTCTTACCTTGAATAGACAAAGCATTTAGGCCAGCAAGTTTTATGTTTGTATCTTGAAACTGAAGTAATGTGGCCACTTCTGTAACACTAAGGATCAGGTTTTGAAAACATGTAATTCTGATAGAAACAAATAACTACATTTAAATTGGAAAGGAGCCCCAGTGAGATGAGATTCAGACCTGAAACTGGAAAATCTAGACTTTGCTTGTTTAGTTCATTAAGTTTAAAAAGGGCTTGGTGAATATGAATAGTATGGTTCAGGGACTGCGAAACAGGCTGCCAGCTTTATATACTAAATCTCTGCTATTTTGTTGTTATATTTTATATCACCTTTGTTTTAGGGTTCCATGTCTTTGACACTCAAACCAAAGAACTTTTTGAATGGAATATAATGGAATTTTAATGAAGCTGAATTGTTTTACAAAGCGGACATCAGTGGTAACTGAGGAACACACGCATCCTTTGTTACGATTGGTTGTTGAACATTGACCCAAAGATCATCAGTCACAACCAGTGGAGGAGTTATCAGTTATCTTCTTGCAAAGGGCTAATCACATCAGAGTAAAAAATCTGATTGTAATGATTTTGGAGCAAAGCTTACTTATAAAGAGTTACTGAAAGGTGAAACACTGAAATAATATCCGTAAGCCTGAGATATTTATGTTTAATTTCAGCCCAAATCAAGCATATCAGCTTCTGCAGTTATCTTTGTGTTAAGATTGAATTGACCCTGTCTATGACACAGGCATGCAGTGTTCCAACTGCTTTCACCATGCCTGACTTTTAACTCATAATATTTATATATGTATACTATGTATATAGTATGATATACCTCATAATCCCTATCACCTCACCTAAGACCCAGGTTTGATTCTCCATATTGTGGTAAGCCTAGTCTTGGTGACATATCATATGATGATACAACATAACACCTTACTGACATAGTCAGAAGTTGGAAAGGATATATTTCTGATATATACAGATTTTGCCCCTTGATCCACAGGCATTCAACATGAAGCACGACCCACTGGGCACCACACGGATCAACGACCTGGGCACTGCAGACCTCGACAGTCTACGAGCCCTCGCCCACATAGAACTCAGTGCTCTCTTTGATATGAATGGGTTAATGTTTGCCAGACCAAAGAAAAAGAAAAAGATTAAAGGTAAGTATGCATCAGTAGAAGAGAGATTCCTGCAAATATCAAATATTTGTGAGTGTGGATTATTTTTAAATATATTCCCAGTCAAGTGTGGTTTGAAGCTTGTTGACCATTGCTACGTGTCTTAGGCCAGATCTGTTTTAAAAAATAATCCTTATAATTTATTTTTGTGATTTGTGAAGAAAATATAAAAATGCTTTCATCAGAACTTGTGGGAGCGTGGGGCGGCTCCTCCTTGGGTAGATGGAAATATAACAATAGTCTTGTGTCATTGGTTCAGGATAGCAAGTGATCATAGTGCTTGGACAATCTTATATTGCACACTTGAACATAGACAATCGTAGTGCTTAGTGTACATGTATACCGGGGTATAAGTCTGAAGCGTTGAGTTCTTTTATGTGGTACTATTTATAGTGCATTATATTTAAAGGACCACATAGGTCTTATTCAGAAACTGGACAGGAAGAGATTTCAAGGTCTTCTATCCTTTTTTTTTTTCTGATTAATGCTACATAGTGGGGGTGTATGTTGCACATAAAAAAATACTTAAAGTCAGGTTAATGTGTCAGAAGTAGCATTTTTAGTAGTTGGTAACAGCAGCAGCAGCAAAATGAAGCCGGAAGCTCACTGGGAAACTGTGGTATGTTATAAAGAATGTGTGTTCTATGCATACTTATCATAAATATGTAAATTAATGTGAAACATATTTGGATATTTTCATGAACATTCTAAAAACTGAAACTGGTTTTGAATATATGCCTTGCATTTTCAAGGTTTTCACAAAGTCTTACTTTGAGTGAAAGTTACTTGTACCTCATGACGACCATCAGATGTTAACTATACTGTGGATCTGTGACGTAACAAACAAGGGACATGACCTCATAATAATAATAATAATAATGTGGGTATTTATATAGCGCTACATCCAGGTACTAATACCCGTATACAGGTACTATAGGAGAAAAAAAATATGAAAAAAAATAACCCCTATACAAGGCTGCAACTCGTCAGATAACTAGATTCTATGATATATGTTGTTACAGAATCTGATTGTCTATTACAGAACATGGTTTGTTTGGTGTCCCAATCCACATCCTGTTGGAGAACGACCAGCGGAGAGCTCCCAATGCCAAAATACCACTTATATTTCAGGAGGTGGGTTGCAGTATATAAAACATCATCTGTCTAAGCTTCATGCTTTCTGTCTTACATACTAAACTTTAAGATTTTATGTAGCCTTTAAGAGACTTTCTCCTCATTCACATTATCACATTTTCTTAGGTTATTAGTCTGGTTGAGAATTGATAGTTTGCTAAATACTAAATGACAATTTAATGAATTCACAATTTGTATGAGAGAAATGTTGTCTTTTCCAGGCATCTCTGTCAATCAGCAGAGAAAACCCTGTTTGTAAGGTTCTCAATCAAACCTGTCATGATTTTGGAAAATACCTGTTTGAAAGGTTTCAAATCAAACTAGCTACTATTATCAAAGTTGATTTAATACCTACATCAACCTAGAAACTAATATTCATACAGAAATAATTTTTCACACTGATTATAAATAATGATATGTACAATTATTGTTCACAGCTTGCCTTCCTACAATAATATAAACATGTATTGCAATACATTTGTCTAAAGCAAACTCAATTAATATTAGATGGTATATATTAGTATTTATGCAGCTCACAAGTTGGTGCTATATTATGAAGCATGTTTGATTCAGAATTCAATTAATTTTAATTAAGTCCAGGGTTTGACACTCACTGATTTCTCCCACTTGCCAAGAGGGCAAGTAGAAAAGTTAAACTACTTGCCCATCACAGATACTACTTGCCCCATGTTACTTATGGTATAGAAAGAACTAGACAAACAAAACACAGCAAGTGAAGAGTTTTAATGAATGAATTGAGGTTAGAAGTTGAAAAAATATGTACTTGCCACTCGGGCAAGCCTTTTAGCAATTTTACTTGCCCTGATTAATTAGTACTTGCCACGGGCAAGCGGACAAGCATGAGTGTCGAACCCTGAAGTCTGCAAATAGCCTTGCTCTGCATTGAAACAGTATGTTTTTCTCCTAATTTAATGCGTCTATATGTATTTCTTTGTATATTTCAGTTGATCCGTTTTCTAGAAAAGGAAGGCCTCAGAACGGAGGGTATACTTCGAGTGCCTGGAGCGGTATCAAGAATAAAGGTATGGTTTGGGGTGATACTATTTTCTTATACTTCAACTGTTATCCATGTTTCTCCACTTGATTAAGTATTTTCCTGAATTGAATCAAATGTTTCAAATAAGTGTGTTATATTTCCTAAAAGATTTGAGATTAACATCTGGATTTAAACAGAAGCTAAATGCTATACTTGAATGAAAAAAGTGCAGAATATGTAAACAAGAAGTTGAGAATCAATAATGCAATGTCATTTCAAACAGGATATATTTATAATCAAACAGTGATACTTACCTGTTAGATATCAGTCAGTATTGTGTAGTTTTTGTTGTGCCAATGAAAACTATCGATAACTGAATAGAATAACAGGACTTCTTAGGTTTAACACAACAGACAAGTTTAAGATGTTCCTCATAATGCTTTATGAAATGTTTTTTTAGCACTTACGACATGAATTAGAAGAGAAGTTTTACTTGGGAACTTTCCACTGGAAGGATGTTTGGCCCAATGATGCTGCAGCTCTCATGAAGCAATTTATCCGAGATCTACCAATACCTCTGTTGACCTATGACTACATCGATGCCTTCCCACAAGTCAAGTGTGAGTGTGGTGCATGAGGGGTGATTGTGTTGTTGTACAGCCCTGTCAGTTACTATGACTACATTGATGCCTGTCAGTTACTATGACTACATCGATGCCTGTCAGTTACTATGACTACATCGATGCCTGTCAGTTACTATGACTACATCGATGCCTGTCAGTTACTATGACTACATCGATGCCTGTCAGTTACTATGACTACATCGATGCTTGTCAGTTACTATGACTACATCGATGCCTTCCCACAAGTCAAGTGTGAGTGTGGTGCATGAGGGGTGATTGTATTGTTGTACAGCCCTGTCAGTTACTATGACTACATCGATGCCTTCCCACAAGTCAAGTGTGAGTGTGGTGCATGAGGGGTGATTGTATTGTTGTACAGCCCTGTCAGTTACTATGACTACATCGATGCCTGTCAGTTACTATGACTACATCAATGCCAACCCACAAGTCAAGTGTGAGTGTGGTGCATGAGGGGTGATTGTATTGTTGTACAGCCCTGTCAGTTACTATGACTACATCGATGCCTGTCAGTTACTATGACCACATCAATGCTTGTCAGTTACTATGACTACATCGATGCCTGTCAGTTACTATGACTACATCGATGCCTGTCAGTTACTATGACTACATCGATGCCTGTCAGTTACTATGACTACATCGATGCCTGTCAGTGACAATGACTACATCGATGCCTGTCAGTTGCTATGACTACATCGATGCCTGTCAGTTACTATGACTACATCGATGCCTGTCAGTTACTATGACTACATCGATGCCTGTCAGTTACTATGACTACATCGATGCCTGTCAGTTACTATGGCCAGTGGCAGTGTTGCCCTATCATGTATTACAACTACTATACTGTTGTAGATCCAAGCATGTTTTTTGCCTTTTTCTTTTGGCTTCATGTTTAGCAACACACTTAGCAATATTCCAGGGCCTAGATTTTCGATAGTGCCATACATTAACATTAACTTACCTTCGAAAATCTAGTCCCTGCTATATAATGACATTCTGTAATTAAGCAAGTCTGGACCAGACAATCCAGTGATTGACATCATGAGCAGCAAACTGCACAATTGGGATACAATGACTTGCATCAACCAGATCAGCAAGTGTGAGCACCCGATTCCCTTACAACAAACGTGGGTTTGCTGAAAACCAATTCTAACCTGGATCATCACTGGTTTCTGATCATGAACAATGAAACCTGTGAAGATCCGGGTTGGAATTGATATTAAGTAATCCATACTTGTCATTAGAGGCAACTAACTGGATGGGGTGGTCAGGCTCGCTAACTTGGTTGACACATGTCATCGTATCCCAATTCATTAATTCGATGCTCATGCTGTTGATTACTGGATTGTCTGATCCTGACTCAATTGTTTACAGACTGCTGCCGTATAGCTGCATTATTGCTGAGTGTGGTGTAAAACTAAACTCACTTGCTCACTCAATTACCATGACTGGTGCTGATATAGCTTTATCATGTAGTATGACTTATGCTGTTTTAGGTTCTGTCACAATGTAACAATGTATGATTGTTTTATTACAAGTTTTGATTATGTTGTTGAAGCATATGATTGTGATGAGTGTGTGATTGTGATGAGTTTGTGATTGTTACAGAAAGTAATTGTGTTGTTAAAGTATGTGTTGTAAAAATGTGTAATTGAATTGTAACAGGTGTGATTGTGTTGTAACTTTGTGTTAACGTGTTATAGTGTATTATTGTGTTATCACAGGGTGTGAGTGTATTGTTACAGGATGTAACAGTGTGTGATTGTGCTATCACAATATGTGAGTGTATTGTTACAAGGTATGTGGTAACAGTGTGATTGTGTTACAGTGTATCACAATGTGTGAGTGTATTGTTACAAGATGTGTGGTAACAGTGTGTGATTGTGTTACAGTGTATCACAGCGCAGGAGTGTATTGTTACAAGGTATGTGGTTACAAGATGTGTGGTAACAGTGTGTGATTGTGTTACAGTGTATCACAGTGTGTGAGTGTATTGTTACAAGGTATGTGGTAACAGTGTGATTGTGTTACAGTGTATCACAATGTGTGAGTGTATTGTTACAAGGTATGTGGTAACAGTGTGATTGTGTTACAGTGTATCACAATGTGTGAGTGTATTGTTACAAGATGTGTGGTAACAGTGTGTGATTGTGTTACAGTGTATCACAATGTGTGAGTGTATTGTTACAAGATGTGTTGTAACAGTGTGTGATTGTGTTACAGTGTATCACAGTGTGTGAGTGTATTGTTACAAGATGTGTGGTAACAGTGTGTGAGTGTATTGTTACAAGGTACAGTGTACAGTGTATCACAGTGTGTGAGTGTATTGTTACAAGATGTGTGGTAACAGTGTGTGATTGTTACAAGATGTGTGGTAACAGTGTGTGATTGTGTTACAGCGATCAAGACGACACTGGAGCAGCTGAGATGCCTCAACTTGCTGGTGCTGCTTCTGCCTGATGAACATCGGGAAACTCTCAGGGTCAGTCACTGCACGACAATATCGTGTAGATTACAGTTTGTCTATCTGGTTGGAAAGCAACATTGGTTGATGTACCTCCTGTTTTAATACTCCCTCAACTCCACCATAGAACTGTTCCTGACATTGTGGGTTTGAATCCCAAATTGTTTCTATGTTTGTGAGCAATACCAATGCCCTTTGGCTTCATTGCATCACTTTGGGCTTCGCCCCAACATTAAGCTGACAGGCTCTGAAATACTTTGAAAACTCATCAATGCTGTGTTACACCCAACTCACTTACACTTCCGGTTAGCCACAGAGCCAGCCTAGATCAATATAATCGTCTCTTGTGTTACAAATAAGCTGGATTGAATACTTTCTTTTCAGGTTTTATTAAAATTTCTGCGCAAGATTGTAAACTACAGTAAAGACAACAAGATGTCGCTGAGCAATGTTGCCATGATAATGGCCCCCAACTTGTTCCTGGGACCAGCTACACGGAACAAGTCAGTCAGCATAGAACAGAAGGAGCTGACCAAGGCACACGGAACGTCAAGTATTGTGAAGATGCTGATACACTACCAGGAGGAACTGTGGACGGTATGGTAGCTCGGCTGAGAGGACCTGTATTTATTATGTCAGGAAAATATGTCTGATACACTAATTAATTATAATAATTAGTCCATTTATATTGCGCTAAATCCACACCGACAGCATGCTCATAACGCAGACAGTTCATTATTACCCCAAATAAACAAAGCTGCATGTGAGGCGCAAGAAGGTTATTAGTCACATGACTTATCCCACCAGGTACCCATTTTCTGCTGGGTGAACAGAGGCAGTTGTGAACAAACTCTGATTACTATGATTACCTATCAGTAAACATTTATCTGAGAATCAATTGCACTAACAAACAATGATGCATATCACCATCATTAAAATTAACAAGTTACATCATGATGCAAGAGTTGAAGTTGTTCAGGAAACTACTGTTATAGGGATGGCAACATTCCTTGATGATGTAACGCTTGTCATGTCATATAGTAGTGCTGATATCATATAGCTGGAACATTTGATGCTTTGACAGTCATATTGGTGTTGGAATAAACATTTCTAGAATCTTTGGGTTTGATTTAAAAATTTGTTTCTCTAATTCAACACTTATGTCAATGGAACAATTTAAACATCAGTTTAACCAATAAATTTTGCCATAATCAACTAATAAATATGAAGAATTAAGTTAAACTTGAATCAAATGAGAAGTAAAATGAACAAGATGATATCACATGAGTGTGTGGGTGTGACAAAGTAAATTCAACATAATCTGACGTATTACTTCATGTAACAATGGTATTGTATATTTCCGCCAAGACTTAAACAATCTGATATTTGAGCTCACCATATATTTTCTATGTGTCTGTACTGAGTGTGTCTTCTTGCAGGTGCCCCCATCCTTTGTCAGACAGCTGAGGATTCAAAATGAGGCAGATATTTTGCGGAAAAATAGGGTAGGTAAACAGTATCCAAACATTATTGTAAATAGGTTAAGAAAGTGCGTATGTAAAATAAGCGGCCATGTCCGTTCCATAACTCTGAGAAGTCTATGCTTTACCTTGTATGATTTCCTATGTGTTGTGAGTTTGTGTTTATGAATCATTATGAAATATAACAGTGATCATATCAGACAAGTCTGTCCTGCCACACTGAGAATAAATGAAGATAAAAAGGGACAGGGATTGAGAAAGGCAGGGGCCATGGGCCATTTTGCACATTAGAATAAAAAATGGCCCATAAAAAGTTTGAAGTTTACTATTGATACAAGGGAAGTGGCCAATTCTTAATTCAGAAAATGGCTAATGATCCTGAAAATGGCCCATTGTCAAAGTTCTCTATCCCAATCCCTGGAGGGACATAATCAATGATGAGGACAAGTATTTTATGTCTTGTGTGTTATATGTTTGCAGAAAAGAGGATTCCGTGCTCGCAAGGACAAAGCTGATTTTTACAGAAAGTCAGCTCCAATTTCAGAGGTGAGTATGGCCAGACGGCTGACAATATATCTCCCACATCAACACAACAGCAGCAACTGAGGATGGGTGTTTGATACGGACAGCCATTTTACAATGAAGTTGTCCATCAGTACCTGTTTTGTCTGATATACACCTGTGAAGATCCAGGTTAGAATTGATCTTCAGTAACCCATGCTTGTCATAAGAGGTGACTAATGGGATCGGGTGGTCAGGCTCGCTGACTTGGTTGACACATGTCATTGGTTCCCAATATACTTAGCTCGATGCTCATGATGTTGATCACTGGATTGTCTGGTCCTAACTTATTTACAGACTGCCGTCATATAACTGGAATATTGCTGAATGCGACGTAACACTAAACTCTCTCACTCACTCACTGTCTGATATACTTTACCGTACAAGGGCATTGTGCTGGCCTAGTAGTTAAAGTCGCATCAAAGGCCCAGTTTTGAGTACAATGCAGGGATTGGGATTGAGAACTTTGACAATGGGCCATTTTCAGGATTATTAGCCATTTTCTGAATTTAGAATGGGCCACTGCCCTTGTATCAATAGTAAACTTCAAAATTTTACTGGGCCATTTTGTATTCTAATGTGCAAAATGGCCCATGGCCCCTGCCTTTCTCAATCCCTGCAATGTGTGAAGGCAAATACTGTCTGATGTCCCTGCTGTGATATTATTGGAATATATGGGGAGTAAAACTATACTAACTCACTTGTTAGGTTTACCCTAAAGAGAGCTCTTTGGTCTGTTGCCTGTTTTCAAGATGTGGTACACAAGCAACATTTGTTTAAATCTATCTCAATAACAAATTAAAACATTTGTTTTGAGAATCGTTATTATTTCATTTCTGACAGGAATGATCAGTTAATTTGTGTTACTCTGACATGTGTGTTAACGACCTTCTTGTGGCGGTTCCACCAGTGCTGTAGTTACATGTGTTTGCCACCAGGCGGACCTAGCAGAGGGGGTGATCCTGGTGAAGGCGCCACACCTCACCAAACTCTCCACCAGGATGAAGCTGGATGAGCTGACCACAGCCAGGGACATTGTGGCCAAGTTCAGCCGCATTGCAGGGCCACACCCAAGTGGGGGGCTCGGAGAGAGGTTAGTATGCAGCCAGAATTTTAGGAATAATTGAACCAAAGATTCGATTTGTGAACTGAAGTACAAAAATATGGTTGGTGTACCCATAATTTTGTAATGACATGGTTGGATGGTTTGATAGGTATTTCTTGGACAGATGACAAACTAGACACAAGTTATGGATAACAACTTCTTTAATATACTTTCATTATAATACTTTATAACATACTATTATGGTCAGGTTTCGGTGCAGATCTATACCTACATGTCACTGTGATTATTCAGCGGCGTCCGTACGTCCCGATTCTTGTTAACGTGATATCTCATGAACTGTTGTACCCAATGTCTTCATATTTGATGACAGCCTACATTGGGGGATTACCCAGACACCAGTGGATATGGGTGACCTTGACCTTATTTTCAAGGTCACCATTTAATACACACATTAGTTTGTTGATTTACAGTTTATATAATCAACACTAAGGTTATACGGACCCTCATGAACATGGTATGCGGAAGTTGTACGCGCATGGGATGAGGTGAAAGAAACATGCCATTTAAATTCACACACATTTTACCGATGCTACTGTAAACTAGCAGTCCATGGAAAACGAGACGGTAATCAGTTCGCGATTGTTGATAATATGATGTGAAATTGGCTATCGCTGTTGGAGGGAAAACGTACCCTCACGAACGTGGTAAGCGGAAGTTGTACGCACATAATATACATCTATTTTGCTATTATTGTGTGTAGAAAATGTCTGTGTATTTTCATGAATACAGTATCACCAGAAATATTTGTTTAGTGGTGTGTGTATTGATAAATATTGAAGGAGGAATGTCTAAGATATTCTTGATGTAAATTTACCTTTCTTAATATTACTACGCCGAGAATTGTTTGCGTGGGGAAGAGAAACGCAAAATTCACAAAATATAAACTGATGCAGAATATTTCCGGTTTACAGTAAAAAGTAGTAAATATGTTATAAATATTCCATTCTTTAGCAGTGGGGGACTTTGCCATATCAGTGGCAAACACTTGTTTCTTAAAGAAGTTTTATCCATGAATTGTGTCTACTTGAAACAAGCATTACATGTACTTTTAGCACCCCTGTGCTTTTCAATATGTCATAACTGGTAGCTCACCAATGCTGGAAGTGAATTCTTAAGATCACATGTTTCTTTAGATCTTCCAGCCATCAGGATTTGCTTGATGACCTCCTTTAACTGAAAATGTCAGTGAGCTAAAATAAATTTAATGGCATACATCTTTGTTATATTACTGTTGTGCAAAAACATAAACCTTTTTGTAAGTACATCATTATTCAGGGGCAAGTATACCATCAACGTTCGATGTGGCCTTTTCAAAAAGTTCAGAAGTCAAATTAAAAATGCAATAGAAAAAAAAAATCTTAAACTGAATTGTGATTTGTGGAAGTTATACAGGGATCGAGGAAATCGCTGTTTGATGGAGTCGTACAAAAGGTCCAGATAAACCAGTTAATGATTGGTTCAGGTCCAGATAAGCCATGGTTGATGATTGGTTCAGATCCAGATAAGCCATGGCTGATGATTGGTTCAGGTCCAGATAAGCCATGGTTGATGATTGGTTCAGGTCCAGATAAGCCATGGTTGATGATTGGTTCAGGTCCAGATAAGCCATGGTTGTTGATTGGTTCAGGTCCAGATAAGCCATGGTTGATGATTGGTTCAGGTCCAGATAAGCCATGGTTGGTGATTGTTCAGAGATAAGCATGGTTGATGATTGGTTCATCCAGATGGTTGGTTCAGGTCCAGATAAGCCATGGTTGATGATTGGTTCAGGTCCAGATAAGCCAGATGTTGGTTCAGGTCCAGATGGGTTCAGGTCCAGATAAGCCATGGCTGATGATTGGTTCAGGTCCAGATAAGCCATGGTTAATGATTGGTTCAGGTCCAGATAAGCCATGGTTAATGATTGGTTCAGGTCCAGATAAGCCATGGTTAATGATTGGTTCAGGTCCAGATAAGCCATGGTTGATGATTAGTTAGTGGCTTGTATTGTAGTATGATAATTATGATGTGGTTTTGTGTTGTAGTTTCTCATCTCGGGAACATCACAGTCATGCATTGCACAGCATGAGATTCCGGAACCCAGACAATGCACAGTTTGCAGATGACAATGCATACCTGTTTGAGGTTGGAGGCAATATAGGTAAGACTTCTGCATGTATACATATTGAATCCATATGGCTGTGAGATGCCTGGTTAATATAGATTATAAATTCTTTTGTGCTCAGGTTGTTACCAGTGTTTGGAATGCAACCTTCCCCAACAGTAATGTGTGCCCCTATGTGGAATCATACAGTAACACTTGATCAGACTTCCATTGTAGGCGGGGCATTTGGGTAGTCCTGGTTAAACAATACAAGCCTTCCCCAACAGTTATGTGTGCCCCTATGTGGAATCATACAGTAACACTTGATCAGACTTCCATTGTAGGCGGGGCATTGGGGTAGTCCTGGTTAAACAATACAAGCCTTCCCCAACAGTTATGTGTGCCCCTATGTGGAATCATACAGTAACACTTGATCAGACTTCCATTGTAGAGACTTCCATTGGAGGCGGGGCATTGGGGTAGTCCTGGTTAAACAATACAAGCCTTCCCCAACAGTTATGTGTGCCCCTATGTGGAATCATACAGTAACACTTGATCAGACTTCCATTGTAGGCGGGGCATTGGGGTAGTCCTGGTTAAACAATACAAGCCTTCCCAACAGTTATGTAAACATACAGTAACACTTGCCTTCCAAGCCTTCCCCAACAGTTATGTGTGCCCCTGTGTGGAATCATACAGTAACACTTGATCAGACTTCCATTGTAGGCGGGGCATTGGGGTAGTCCTGGTTAAACATTTGCTCATCATGCTGAAGACACGGATTTGATTCCAACAAGGGTACTATGTGAAAAAGCCCATTTCTGGTATTCCCTGAGTGATATTGCTGGAATATTGCTAAAAGTGGCATAAAACCATACCCACTCACTCACTCCATTGTAGTCAGTCTCGTCTTTGTCAAGTAAACGACTTTTGTATGTATCCGTTATGTAGGCCTGAAGACCTTATAAGGCAGAAGTCCAGTGTGCGATGAAATACACTTATCTTTTAATATCCCAAGTTGCCGGGTGTAAGAAATCAGATGCTAGCGGTAGCAAGTTATTGCTGTAAATATCTCTACCACTGTTAGGTGTTCCTCACTCTGTATGGAGTTTGAGACAACCAGGAGTCTTCCAGTTTCAACACCTCTGGGTTAAAATAATGATAAATATACAAAGAGCCTGCCTAGACACAATAAGTTCAGCACAACCTCTGACTCATGTCCCAGTTCAACACAGTACGGTTTAGCGAAGCAATATCAGTTTTATTCACAGTTAGGCCAGACCAATTTTATTTCTTGCTTTACATTTTTAAACTTATCCTATCTCACGACTTGCACCTCTCTCTCTTCATTCGACCATGAGTGGAAACGAATTAAAACTTTGCTCCAAGGCCTACCTTGCCCCTCTCCCGTGCTGTGCGTGCCTTCTGTGTCAGTCGTGCTCACTAGTCCATGACAGCACGAGGCATGCGCAGTCCTCACCCACGTGATCACCTCACATACTCATTCTCTTTCTTGTCGCTCCACTGAGTGGACGTGAAAAATTTTCGTCTGAGAATTGCTCAAAATGGTTAAGCCTGTTAAGGCCAGTAAACGGAAGTTTTGCGTCCGTTGTAATAAAGTATTTTCAGCATGGGACCCTCACACATCGTGTGTTGATTGTGTGGGTGTTTGTGACTGGGACACACGCTGTCCTAAGTGTTCAGGTCTGTCTAATGAGGCGTTTAAATCTTACAAACGTGCTTGTGCCAGACGTTTGGCAGATAGGGCTAGGACTATTTCTGCGGGGTCTGGTCCATCTCCCGCTAAGAAACAATGCTTAGATCGCCCCACCCTCACTGCTCACCGTTCTCAATCGGCCGTCTCGCCTGACGAAGATTTTATGGACGCTTCGTCAGATTCCTATTTATCTGAGAACGTGAGACGGCTTTTAGGGGAGGTTCCCTCACCCAGTTTACGTTCTCAGGAGCGTACCAGGGTGGTAATGACCGATATTTCTTCTACGCCAGACCTGCGATCTACATTATCTCGTAGGTCTGTTTCTTCGGAACGATCACAGACTTCGAGAACTTCTAAGCATTCATCGTCAAAGCGGGGATCGGCGCGGTTGGAACGTACCCGTTCTCCTAATTCCACGGTTTCATCTAACCGGAACAATTCACCCACACGAGTTGAATCACCATCTGGTGCGAAGGTTCGAATGCGTTCTTCCACGGCTGGCAAGAGTCGTTCTAGGTCTCGTTCACTTTCCCGAGCCGGCTCACCCCCGAGCCTGCCGAACCGACTCACATCGCCGAACCGGCTCACATAGCCGAACCGGCTCACATCGCCGAACCGGCTCACACGGCCGAGGCGGCTCACACATCCTCGCCGACTCAGTTGATCGAACTGATTCACGTAGTCGAATGGGTTCTCAGGCCGTACCGTTTCACGTACTCAAATAGGTTCACCAGGACGAACCGCTTCACATTCCCGACTCAATTCACCTCAACAGGTGTTTCCGTTCGACTCACCACAGCGTTTTGATTCACACAGCCGAACCGGCTCACACGGCCGAGCCGGCTCGCCAGTACATCTTCGAATGGGTTCACCTGACCGAACTGATTCACGTAATCAAATGGGTTCACCTGACCGAACTGATTCACGTACTCGAAGGGGTTCACCAGGACGAACGGGTTCACATTCCCGACTCAGTTCACCTCAACATAGGTTTCAGTTCGACACACCATCAGCGTTTTGATTCCCGTAGTCGTTCAGTCTCGCCTGGTCGAGGTGGTTGGCCATTTCGATCCGGTTCACCTAGCCGTAAGGTGTGTTTTCGTCAGAGTGATTCTCGAAGTCGGTCTCATTCACTTTAGGTGAATCAGGATATCCCGTCTTGTCAGTCTAGACTCAGTAGCGTAATTTTGCGCACACTGTAACAATATTTACTTCCTCGGATCCCCAATCGTCATGTTCCTGGAGCAAACGTTGTCGGGAATGTGCTCCCTTATTAAGGACGTTTTTAGAGCATGTAGACATACTTGCTCCCGATGGCTGGCAGACAGAGCTCGTTACACTTCAACAGTTGATCACCCGACAAACCCCCGTTTTTAACGACCGGTATTAACTGCTCGTCGTCCGCAGTTTCCCATGTCGAACGGTGATAATTTTATGGGCGCATCATTAGATGTCTTCTCGTGGTTCCGCCTCATCAAAACGCTCTGTGTTGCCAGTTGACTCACACATCCGATCTACTTCGTCAAATCGCCGAACCGATTCGCCACACCGAATCGGTTCGCCATATACCGAATGGATTCACCAGACCGACCCGTTTAGCCATACCGAATGGATTCACCACACCCAATCGGTTCGCCATACCGAAGGGATTCACCACACCCAATCGGTTCGCCATACCGAATGGATTCACCACACCCAATCGGCTCGCCATACCGAATGGTTTCACCAGACCGTACCATCAAATTGCCAAACCGGTTCACCACGCCGAATCGGTTCGCCATACCAAATGGATTCACCAGACCGAACCGATTCGCCACACCGAATCGGTTCGCCATACACGAATGGATTCACCAGACCGAACCGTTTCGCCACGCCGTATGTGAATACGACATTGACTCAGTTTGCCATAATATTAAGACTGTTTCTTATCGCCGAAACAGTTCACATCATCGATTCAATTCACAGCAACGAAACGATTCACCTCGGCCGGAACATTTCACCTCGCCTCACTGGTTCATCTGAGCGTTCTAGATCTCTCCATCAGCTGAGATCATTTAACCGGTTCGGATTACCGAACCGATCCAGATCAGTCACGATTCAGATCACATCGGACTGATTCAGATCACGTCAACTTTCCGGCTCACCACCCTGAACTGATTTACCAGCCGGCTCGTATCGTTTCACCAGGTCGAAAGCTCCCCTATCGTCGAACCAGTTCACCTGGCCGTTCAAGATCAATGTACAGAGGTAGTAGCTATGTGCTTCACCATGCCGATTTGATTTACATGTGTTGTTAGTAGCGCAGTCATCTAGAGATATCACGCTCGGCACTTGACGGCCTGGCGATCCCAGTTCTCAAGAGTCCTCCGTGACCGGAGCTCATCTCATTCCAGATTTAATCTACCATCCGATCTTCACTTTTGATGAATGATTCGGTTCAACGATTCTACCCTTCGGTGTAGATATCAGTTCTGCAACCACCCGATATGGCATAACTAGATACGCTTGCGAGCCAGGAATACTCTACGACGCTCCGATGAGTCTTGTTACTACAGACTACTCGTAACAGCGTGTTTGTGTATCCCTTGGTGCAATTGTTGCAGACGGCTCGTCATCTTCAGCTCCCTTTGTTTTACATGTTAAGCAAGTTTCTGGACAGATAACAAATGGATGAAGTTCTTGCGCATGGTACCGGCACTGTTTTGTCAAATAGCCAGCATAGCTCAGCCCGGAATTTATGGGTTGCGACTCGCCCGGTTAACCAAAGACCAGGTTGTCCGTATTTTTTTGTCACTCGTGTGTAACGTTTGCAAATGGCGGACTACTGTTTGTTTACCGGAATTTTGATGATTAGAGTGACTATGAAGTGCCCTTGCAGAATTCTCTTGGTCCCACGAATCGGATACCAAGTCCAGCCTATAAATGCAAGTAACAACGAACGCTGCCATTCCCGATAAGAGTGACTGTGTCGGGATTTTGACAGCCAGTCGAGAGAGACTGCTTATTGAGGGTGACGGACAGAAACACCCGTGAACGGTTTGCCTAGTCAAGCACCGAGTTCAGAGGTCACTGCATTATGCAAGGATTGTCACCAGGCAGCGATCTACTACCTATATCACTCCACCGGGCGCACAATTATTTTGTTCGGCCAAAAGAAACGTTCCTGAGGTCACCGATCCTACGAATTTCTACAATTTGTTTATAATGTGAACGTTCCTGTAGATTGACTGACAATCTCCATGCGCCGAACATACTACATTGAACACTCCGTCAGAACTGACGTAGTTGCTCGACTTATTGAACGTTCTTATATCAGGAGATATCTTTTTGTCAGAGGCAAGAGTGGTTAGACCTCTCATTTCCCTCGACCTGCGATGGCCGTGGGGTAGCCTAGTGGTTAAAGCGTTGACTCGTCACGCCCAAGACCCCGGTTCGATCCCCACATGGGCACAATGTGTTCAGCCCA